GCAACAACCACAATCCCAAAGAGTTTATAATCCAGAGAAATAAGAGATTCAGGGAGGGGAAGCAGAGTCACAGATTAATTTGATGGTTTATTTAAGGGCACTTATTTAAGGGGAAATGAGATGTTTCTGCCAGAAGCAGAAAAGGAAATCTTTTGCGTTACTAAAGTATTTACCAGTCTCTTTCTCTCAATATCAATGTCTCAAACGGTAAGGCTTTTCCCTATTTTCTTTTCCTGCTTAGCAAGCACTCATAGTTACAGTATTACTCAGTGCATAAGGAAAAAGACTCCCAGATAACACAATATGAGGTTAATTGACTAGTTTGAGTCGTTCTTTTTTCCACATCCCTCACACAATTAAGAAAAATAATAGTAGTACTATCAAAAGCAAGCAGCTGGATAAAAACCTCCTGATTTGAATGACAATAAACCTCTAAAAGAAAATTCTGATATAGCAGGGCTCTGAGCCAATAGATACTGAAACATCCATGAATCTAGTTTTTAGTGTATGGAAAAAAGCTTTAGGATATTATTTTTTGTTGTCCTGATTACTTTACATGGCAGTGTTGGAAAACTATGTGGTAAAGCATATATGATCCTGACCTTTTTAGAAACCGGGACAAGGGCACCTTCCATACAGATGAAGATTTCAGTGTCCTGTCAGGGAGATTCCATTATATTGTTGATGGTTGTAGTGAATGATGGATATTAAGGGCTACGTAGTTCTTGCTGTTTCACATTCCTTCTATTTTCTTACTTGGAATACTGCTTTCACAAAAACCACTCTTCTCCATTTTCTCCCACCACTATATTCTCAGTTTTCATTGTAAATAAATCAAAACCCTATTCAGGAACTGGTCAATATTAAGAAGTCAGACAAAAATGCAGCTTATCAGGACAACTCACTACAGGAGTCCTGCCTCTCATCTCTTTAGGAAACTCTGGCCCCTATCATAGCCACCAGCACCTGCTAGGCTGACCTTGCACAAAAGTCATGTTGTCCACTTCAAAAATCCAGCACTTCCCAATGTGCCCAATACATTCACTGCATGCGCACATACATCCAACATGGCACAGCTGTCTGCAGAGTGCAACATATGAAAGACAGGGAGCTGCTGGAGAGGGTCCAGAGGAGGGCCATGAAGATGATCAGGGGACTGGAGCACCTCCCCTACAAAGACAGGCTGAGGGAGCTGGGCTTGTTCAGCCTGGAGAAAAGAAGGCTGCGGGGTGACCTCATTGCAGCCTTTCAGTACCTAAAGGGTTGTGGATGCCCCGTCCCTGGAGGTGTTCAAGGCCAGATTGGATGGGGCCCTGGGCAGCCTGGTTTATTATTAAATGCGGAAGTTGGTGGCCCTGCATGCGGCAAGGGTTTGGAGATTCATGATACTTGAGATCCCTTCCAACTCTGGCCATTCTGTGATTCTGTGGTATGTATCCAGCTGTGAAAGGCTATTCCACAGGGCCCTTCTTTAAGCTAGGGATAAGGAGCCTTTGTGACATTAGAGATAACATAAAGGAGTTAGATGTTCACTGAGACTTTTCTATTTTTATTTAAAAAGTATTAATGCTTTTGTTTCCATGCATTTCCAGCTAATGTTTCACACCTGAAAGACTGCAGCAGCTCATTTGGAAATAAAGAAAAAGCAAGTATACATCAATTTTTTTCCTTCTCAACAACTCTATAAACATTCTCATGAACAGGAACAATCATGAAGTAAACAAAAAGAAATTTCAACCTATTCAACGATGGCAATCTTTTTGTTTGGAATTCATGTGAAACAAAGGAGACTGGGATGGCATTCCTTTTGCTATCACAGGACAGACAACTAGGACAAAGAATGCCACCACAGAAGGAGAGATCTGTATTCTGATAGAATATATTGCAGCTCACAAAAAGCAGCAAACCACAAGTTTTTTTCTTATGATAATCTGGAGTAAGAGATAAAGAACGAACAAAAATGAGTAATCATTAGCTACCAACAATTTCAAATAAATGTCAGGAACCCCAAATAACCATGGAATGCTTCACACAGAACAGCTCCTCCCCCTCAACCCACTCCCACCCCCCCCAGAAAGCAAACAAACTAAAAACACAAACACTACTTCCTCATGGCAACTCAACTCATGGGGCGTAGTCTCACAAGATTTGACAATTGCAATCTCCAGCCTTGACAAACAATTTCAAGTCTTCCTGCTTTGCTGTAACACACACGTCCCACACGTGTAACCAAAAGCCCAAACTTTCAATTACCACTAAAATATTTCAGAGACCTCCTACATTTGACTGAGAATCATCCCGAGCACTGCTTCCCTGTGTACGTTGTTGTTACAATTAGTTGAACAAGAAAGATAGGGATAGCCTAGTGATAATCATTGTTCCTTTGACTCCTGTCTCCTTTTCTTCACTTTTCCTTTCTCTTCTTGCCCTTTCACAAACAGGAGAAACCAAAAAGCATACAATGAGGTGGGACTGAAAACTGACGGATTGGCCAGTATTGGAGGGTGGTGAGCAATGATCTCACTTCAAAATAAGGATTTTCCATTACATTAAGTTCTTCCACACGCTATCAAAACAACACCTGTCTTTCCCTGGTATTTCTGCTTCTGGATGAAGTACCAGATAAATGAAATGCAACAATATGCAAAGTTCTGCTTTAGTGTAAACCCATTAAAAGCTCTTTTGATTAAGTGATTCTTTACATCCTTCTATTCATAGATATCTTCAAACAATACATGATACGAGCTAATGCAAATTTCACTGGATAGTCTTTATAAGTATTTCCTGTCTTACTGCTAACATCGTGCTTTTTCCAACATTATGGCATTTTGGTTGTATCAAAGTCTTTTATTTTTGTATTAAGAATGAACTGTTCAAACAATAAGCAGATAAGCTCTAATTACGATTTTCTTCTCCAAACCAGTTATCAACACTGCTTAGTCTGAATGGCAAAGTTACTAAGAAACGTACCGCACAGAAAAACTGTTAGCCTTGGAACACAGAAGTAATTGCCACTGCTTAAAGACTATTCTGTATTCTCTTATTTATAATAGCGGCTTAAAGATGTTTGACTTGCAAGAATACGTAATAAAAGGCAAAAGCTTAGAGCCACAAGGAGTTTACGCGACTTTAATCTCTCAGTCCCGCAATTGCCACTGTGTGGCAGGGCTGGCACTACGCAGAGGCACAGGGAGGCTCTGCATTAATTGCTATGCAAATGAAATGAGCAGGTCGCAAGTTCAAAATAGACCATGAAAGGGATAGAATCTCTTTGCACATAGTGCTAGGGATGATAAAGGGATTCACATAACAAAGTTTTAAGTTCTACTTTCTGCTCAGCTTCAGCCAGGCAGAACCCCAAAACAAATGAGAACTTCCAGCTTTGCACCTGTGAAGTCTGCTTTTAATACCCACCCTGATCCAGCAAACTATAACCCTATATTACTATAACTACCAAAGCTCTCCAAACAGCATTTTTCATGCTCTCCAAAAGCTGTTCATAGCCCCTGTCTCTCTGTAACTGCATATATACTGATTTACTTTTACACTTTTGCCTCCACCCATGCTACTAAGGAAAGGACCAGCATGCAAAGCTAAGGTCTAAGGTCTAAAACACAAGAACATAGACACATTTTGCTCTGAACACCAGCGATACAGCTATTTATGAAAACTACATTTGCTCACATTTCTGCTTCATTCTCCTTACCACTCATGATGAAAAATCCTTCCTTTTTGCTAATGTTCATCAACATAAGCATTCTCCAGTTCCTAACCAAGTCTTCTGGTTCTGGTCTGCCCTCTTTCTTGCTAGGAAAGGATATTCAGCTTTCCCTTTCTCCTTTCCTTCTTCTGAAACATTACTGAACTACTTGTAACTATTCTCAGCTACGAAGTTCCCAATTCAGAGCTTTGACAATCAACCACAATATCATTTCTTTTGCTTATAATGTCCAGGCACTGCTCTTTTAGCTGCATCCTAATGATCATCATCATAAAACGGTGTATGTTTCATGTAATATAAGTTTTGTCATGAACGCATATTAAACTATCAACATATTAACTTGCTTTTTCTTCCAAAAAGCACAGATCCCCTCTCTCAATATCATTATTATTAACAATATTTGGACAGACTTGCTATTTTTTACTTAAAGCCATTGGCTAACACACAGATCACAAAGTTGCTGGTAAAACACTGATCTGATCACACTGACTCTCAAGTTAGAGAATAAAGCTAAGAACTGTGAGATGACAACAGTTTCTCACAAGACATCACTATTTCTGCTATGTTATTCAATTATATTGTTCCAACATCACAGAATATGTTTTTATTCTCTTGCATTATGGAAAAAATGTCTATAATGATGATTTAAAAGCACACACTTATTTTCCAGCTGCGTATACTCTTTACTCACAACTCAGGTTGTAGCCATATACAACAACTCCACACGTGAGTAGAGCAAAAAGAAAAAAATTATAGCAATACAGTTTAGCCACAAGGTTTAAGTTCTTTAACTATATCTCTCTGCATGATAAATACTACACTTTCCACTCACCGCATTCTCCCTTTCCTTCTTTTACCTGTAAATGCTAGAGGTCACTAAATAGGGGAGAGAAGGAAAATTCTTCCCTCTTATTGCAAATGAAACTAAGTCTACAGAGCAACATAACCTGCGCCTGGAACACCAAGGATACAAGTAGTGCAAAATCCTTGCTTGTGGGAAATACAACCCATTTTTTAATACCATGAGACTACTAAACTCAGCACATTTTCTTTTACCTGCAATTGCTGCATATTCATACTTAGCACAAAGAAGTCATGCACATGTCAAAAAATGATGTCTTATTAACTTTATTTGCAGGACCCAAACATGATACCAGTTGTTTCAGTAGTATAGTCCTTACCACCTACACATCTGTCTGTGAAATAGCACTGATAACACATTTATAACATACAGCGCAAACTTCTGTAGAACATAAAATTTAACTGAAGTTATACTTACTGTAACCTGGGAAGCGTCCATGAACTGTAAGCCAAAGTAATCAGTTTCCACAAGGTCCAAATGATACACAATCTGGTCAAATAACTCCTGTCCCTTTGCATGTTTCTGGAACAGAATAAAAAAAAAAAAGTGTTTTTTGTTTTGTTTTGTTTCACTTTTATATCTCTATCTATGGGGGGATATTGCACATGGGCTTTGGTTTTTCATTTTTTGTTTTGTTTTGCTTTTCCAGATCCAAATAGGGGGAGTAAAGTTGCACGTCAGGAATGAGCATCTCACTAAGCGCTTTAAAGAATTAACATTTTAACATTTCTTTTCATTTTCTTAAAGATTTTCTTCAAGAAATACAAGTGACACACTCCATCTGCCTCTATTCCAACAGTGTAAGACTTTGTTCTCAAAGAAAATCTTCTAAGTTCACAGTAACTCAAAGCACAGGAGAGAAATGAAACCCTTATGTCCCTGTGAGCATTCCAAGTCACAGAGCCAACATTTTCAATCTCTAGGATGCCAAATTCCACAGCAAATGCTTGCTTAACACACTGCCTGAGATCTGCCTGTTGTTATCACGTATCAACTGCAGTTGTACAGTGTCACACAACACTACTTAAGCCACAAAATACATTCTGGACAGCTTGAATACTTAAAGAGCACCATGAGGAAAATTAGCAATATTTGATAAGAATCTTTCAATAAAGTTGCTAATTGTAATCATGCTTACAACCTTCAAGTGGAGCCAAGTAAGTAGCTCTAATTCTCATGTGGCATGACACTTGGAACACACAAGAATAGAAATTAAACCAACCCAAATCATAGGCTAAGCACCAGTAGCAAAGTTAGCTGACCTTAAAGCTGGCCTACAATTTGCCCATGTAGTTGTGCAGAATTTAAGCACCCTGTGTTTCAGCAGGGAGCTTACAGGTGGGCAGGAAGAAGAGAGAAACAAACTAATTTTTCTGCAAACCATTTCGTGTTACTCAGGACATGTGACACCACTATAAATCTCAAGCAGACAGAAGCTACAGCTGTAGTTCATACAGGAAAGGTACAGTATGCAGAAACCAGTTCTCTGCCTGCTATCCTATAACTGAGGAATTATTATTTTTTTTAATTTTGACATTTAATGCTCTAGTTTATTAGGCATTCCCACTTCACCCAAAATACTAGCAGAATTCACCGGCTTCAGCTGAAGGAGAGCTAAATAACTTGCTGTTCAATTTGGCTTTCTGTGCAGTATCAGCATTAATCATGATGTGAACTCCTGTCCAGTCATCCAAACTGTCTAAAAATCTATAACTAATTGCAGAAACAGCATTAGGAGTGGCGTTAAAATAAGCTGCACAAAAATTTAGACAAGTGTTGGACCATCAGATGATACTGCTTTGTTGTTTTAGAGTGGAGGAGCAAGAAATCAATAACAGACAATCAAACTTCAACAAACTACTAAAAGCAGATGAGAAGATAATATTCTTAAAGCAGTACATCACAAAGAAATCACAAATTTCAGATGTCCAATAATAGCTGTGAACTAAAACAAAATTTGCTAAAATCGTATCCAGAACATGTTTTCTCGCACATGGTAAATTCACTATTCGGTCAAAAAAAGCCAAGACAAAGCACAGAAGAATTAAAAATGATTCTGCTCCAATGAGGGACAAGAAAACACTCCAAAGCAATAAAAAGGGCAAGAAACAAGGAGCTCACAGAACCAGGAAATACTGACTTGATGCCCTGCTATTACTCTATTCCCAGTTGCTTGCTTTACAACTTTAACTACCTACATGTTTATCTTCAAATGCCACACACTCAATAGAAACCAGAAAGCGCACACTTCACCTTCTGTACCCAAAGCATAGTTAATGTTCAACATATGTCACATGGAGAAGAGCCCTCCTCAGCACAGCTAGACTGTAATGAAGTACCACATACAAGAACTGCTCCGAAAGTAATGTCTCCTACTTTCTTATGTTGGCCTGCAACATCAGAGGCAGATGTTAATAATACGGCAGTAGAGGTTAAACTTTCCCAACAATATCCCATCACCTGTTGTTGCCATGAAACAGGCAGCAGAGGGGCAGTCTGACATGGAAGTGCATGTGAAGCAAAGATGTTTCCAGTGACATTCACTGATGCTTGCTGAACATTCAATGAGATCAACCAGAGGATGTGAATACAGTGAGGTGTTATGTGTGCATCTCAGCAGTGGTGACAGTGGCAGTAGGTCAAAAACACATACCTGTTGGTGTTCACTATTGGAAAAGAGTGTTTTTTAGCTGAGAATTTATCAAACAGTGTTATGGTGCTCTTTGTATCTGTTCTAGCTTCCATGAAAATAAATAGGAAGCACTATTTTTGGAGCAATCTACATACATAGTTTACAGGAGGTTATAACATTTAACTTGCCACTAAATGAGCTCAGTAATTCATAACATGCAGATAACAAGGCCACTGCAGCCACCAAACTGCTGACAAGAAAAAAATAAAGGCTTTGAAATATTACATTCAGGAACAACAAAGGTAACTCTTCTCTACTAACAGTAAAGGATAACCTGTTCTCCTTCCTTCTGCCTTCCACACTGACTTACAACCAGTTATACTGCAGATTGATAAATCGGTACCTGTGAAATGAATCAAATGAATGGTACTGACAAAATAGAAGTGGATTTTCTCTGGAGTTGCATAGGCCAACATGTATAACAGCAGTGAGTCTTTTTTTCCTCCCTTTTCTCTAGATAACAGAAGCTAAAAAAAAAAAAAAACAAACAAATGCTATCTCAATCATAATATGGTATCAAGAATATGAAATCAATGTCAAACGAACTTTTCACTGGAGATACGATCAGATGGAATTCAACAAATCACGCCTTCTCTACAGAGCTTCAATTTGTGAATTTTTTTTGAAAATGTATGTTAAAAAAAAGTACTTAGCTTAAAAATATTTTATAGCCCTCATTTGCTAGATAATTGGTTCAAGAACTGTCAGAAGATCTGCATAGCCTACATCTCAATAGTGGCAAAAAGACAATGTACACAGACAACTACTTAGAGTTATTACTTTGTTGTTATAAAAACTACTATAATTTGGAAAAATTATGTTATTAATGAAATTGCAAGAACATTTATTTATTTTTACAGCTAAATCACTGCCAGTTTCTGCTGGAGAGTTCCTAGGATCCCAAGAGAACCTGTGAGAGAACCATCAAACCACACAGACAAACACTGGAGCCCTCAAAACGTCAAACTTACAAACCCAATTACAACCACAGCACAAAGTGAAACTGAACTACCACAGGGCAGTCACTTGCATCCCCTTTTACCTCTTTGCCCTTGAGGAAGCACAGAAATTGAATTATGCTGCCAGTTGGGAAGCTCCATAATGGAGAGCACTACTGAGAGAGAGAGGGAAAAAAAAAAAAAGAAAAGGGGAGGGGGATAGGATAGTTTCTTGCATCAGCCAGCCAGGTGAGCATCCACACCTGAAAGTTGCTTCAATTCTGTATCCTGGAAGCCCTCCTCAAATAACCTTCCCCTCATATTTTCCTCAGGATTATGAATCACAGGATCAAAAGAAAATTCTTATGTTTAATGAAGATTTAGTGCTGGGTCCTCTTCCAAGGACTCACATTGGCATAAGACCCTTTGTAGGATCATAGGGACAGTTGCACAGACCACAGTTAAAGTAAGTCTAAACTCTTAGTTGTCAAAGTCTCCCAGTCTCAGGGAACGTAAGGGAATTCTTGTCGGCTAAAACCTGACAAAACAAAGAAACTTCTCCAACCAGAATTCTTCCAGACTTGACATATGAATAGGGAAGAAGTTTTAATATGCTTTTGGTGGGCAAGAAGGAAAGGGCAAATTCATCAGCCAGGGACATTTTGCATCAACTGGTTCAGTTGAAACAGGCTGTTCAGTGTTGATTTTAGCTATGCCAGAACTATTTGAAAGTTTCTGCCAGAAAGCATTAAAAGGCTATACAGAAGCCAGAAAAATTCCCCAGTCTAGTGCAGATGCATTGCAAGAATGTCATTGATCAGTCTCACAGAGCACAGACAGCAAAGTTGGAAAGCTGAAGTGCTCTGAAAAAGATCAAATAGTAGTATGTAGCAACCAAGTGCTCGGCATTGCACATGTACTGACTGAGTTAATGAGAGAAAATTCATTCACATTGGAGTTGAGTCATAATGGAGAGTTCAGATTGCAGCATTACTAAAAAAACCCAAATAATTCTCTGTTGTAGCACAAGTGAATGCTTATGGGAGGTGTTATGGCAATGGCTCCTGAAATGAAAAGCGAGGAGGACAAAACTGAAGGATGATGCTATTTCAGTTTGTTCCAGGGAAGAGTTCACAGCAGAAAACCCACAAACAGTTGCCCAGAGGGGGTTGTGGATGCTACCTTCTTGGAAGCTTTCAAGGCCAGGCTGGATGGGGCTTTGAGCAACCTGGTCTAGAGGGAGATGTCCTTGCCTATAGGAGAGGGGTTGAACTACATGATCTTAAAAGTCCCTTTGAACACAAACTATTCCAAGATTGTATGGTTACAATCTAAGTATTAATAGACTTCAGAAATAGCTGAAGTGGTGCTTGGGAAAACAACTTGTCAAATAGGGCAAAAGTACAAGAAATAGCTTGCGTGCTAAGAGAAAAAAAAAAAAGACCTGAAAAGTAAATAAACTGCTTCAAAGAAAAATATCAAGGACAGTTAACTGTAATCTCTGCCAAACTGAACAGCAAGCAGTAGCAGAAGGGAGTATATAGGGCAGATTTAGTATTTTGCTACAGAAAACAAAGTATTATGTACTCTGCAATGCATCTAATATTTTTGAAGAGTGGTCTACTATGAGCTCATGGTCACAAATACCAAGCTTCTGGTAAGTTAGTAAAGGAGTATTTGTAACCAACAATTCCCTGTTCCGCAAGCGTTATATGGCTCTGTAGAAATCAACACCTCTCCTGGATGTATAAGGAGCTAGAACAGCTCTTTATGTTCTGCTTACTACTCTCACATGTGAATTGTTAACAACTCATTTTTCAATTCTAATCCTAAGGCTTTACCAGCTCTGCTGATTATAATGCTTAGGAATAGGAATTTGCTTTGTCTTCTAA